ACCCGCTCGGGCGCGCGGCCCGCGGGGTAGCGACGCCGCTTGTCGCTCCCGCGTTCCCGTGCCACTGCCCCGTCGGTTTCTGCCGCTGCAGCGAGGGCGCGCAGCTCGCCCAGCACCCCGTAACGCACAGTGACGTCCGCGAGGCCCTCGCGGCGGGCGGCGCAGAAGGGAGTGGGGAACGCCCAGTTCCAGCGGTCCCAGGCTGGGACGTGCATTTGGCGCGCGGTCCAGAAGCCGCACTCAGCATAAATGCGCTCACAGACGTCCCCGACGTCCCGGCTGCGAGCCTTGATGACGACGCCGTAGGCGCACTGGAAGGCGCAGTGCACCTTCTGGCAGAGGGGCTGGCCGCAAGGCTGCCAAACGCGTGCGCAAGTCCGCAGCCAGTTCCCGCAGCGGCTGCCCAGCGGCACGAGGTCTTGACCCAGCAGCGTCCGCGCCATGCTCAGGTAGTCCCCCTCCTCCTCCTCCTCCTCCTCCTCCTCCTCCTCCTCCTCCTCCTCCTCCTCCTGCCCTCCTCCTCTTTCCTCCTCCCATGTTTCCTCCTCCTCCTCCTCCTTACTCCTCCTCTTCCTCCTCCTCCTCCTCCTCCTCCTCCTCCTCCTGCTCCTCCTCGTCCTCGTGCTCCTCCTGCTGCTGCTGCTGCTCTTTCTCCTCCTCCTCATCCTCCTGCTCTTCTTGCTCTTACTGCTCTTCCTGCTCCTCGTGCTGATCGTGCTCCTCGTGCTCCTCGAGCTCCTCGAGCTCCTCGTGCTCCTCGTGCTCCCCATGCTCCTCGTGCTCCTCCTGCTCCTCCTGCTCCTGCTCCTGCTCCTGCTCCTGCTCCTCCTCCTCCTCCTCCTCCTCCTCCTCCTCCTCTTCCTCCTCCAGCTTGGCGCCGCACATTGCCCCAGCACCGCGCAAGCATTCTGCATATCAAGTGTGATCATGAAGATACTCTGTACAACGATGCTGGTGCTGATGGCACCGAGGAGATCTGGGAAGGATAGGTGAGGACGGGAAGGAGGAGGACAAGGAGGCGGAGGAGGAGGAGGCGGAGGAGGAGGAGGAAGAAGAGGAGGCGCAGGGGATGGAACATGAGGGGCAAGGAGGAGGAGGAAGAGGCGGCGGGGGAGGAGGATGCAGGAGGAGGAGGAGGCGGAGGAGGAAGTGGTGGTGGTGGTGGACGAGGTTGAAGAGGAGGGCAAGGAGGAGGAGGGAGGAGGGAGGAGGGAGAGGAGAGGGAGGAGGGAGGAGGGAGAGGGAGGAGGGAGGAGGGGGAGGAGGAGGAGGAGGAGGAGAGGAGAGAGAGGAGGAGGAGGAGGAGGAGGAGGAGAGGAGGACCAGCAGGAGGAGGAGGAGGAGGAGGAGGAGGAGAAGGCTGAGGAGGAGGAGGAGGAGGTGGATGTGGATGAGGCGCAGGGGGTGGAAGAGGAGGGGCAAGGAGGAGGAGGAGGAGGAGGAGGAGGAGGAGGAGGAAGAGAAGGCGGAGGAGAGCAGGGGGAGGAGGAGGAGGAGGAGAAGGAGGAGGACGAGGAAGAAGAGAAGGGGCAATGAGGAGGGAAGGAAGGAGGGAGGGAGGGAGATGGGAGGAGAGGCTGAGGGAGGAGAGCAGGGGGAGGAGGAGGAGAAGGAGGAGGAGGATGAGGAGGAAGAGAAGGGGCAATGAAGAGGAATGGAAAGAGGGAGAAGGGAGGAGAGGCTGAGGGAGGAGAGCAGGGGGGGAGGAAGCGGATGAGGGGGAGGAGGAGGCGGAGGATGAGGAGGAAAGAGAGCAATTCGTCGTCGACTGCCCACGGCTGGCCCAGGCGGCGGTCAGGGGAGGCGGCTCCTTGTCGGCCTCCTTGGGGCTGCTGGCACGCTTCGCAGCCTCGGGCGTGTATGGTTTGTGTGTGTGTGTGAATGTGAATGTGAATGTGAATGTGAATGCGAATGTGAATGTGAATGTGAATGTGAATGTGACTGTGAATGTGAATGTGGATGTGAATGTGAATGTGAATGTGAATGTGAATGTGAATGTGAATGTGAATGTATGCGATGTGACTGTGTGCGGGTGCGGGTGCGGGTGCGGGTGCGGGTGCGTGTGCGTGTGCGTGTGCGTGTGCGTGTGCGTGTGCGCGTGCGTGTGCGTGTGCGTGTGCGTGTGCGTGTGCGTGTGCGTGCGCGTGCGCGTGCGCGTGCGGGTGTGTGTGTGTGTATATATATGTATACTAGAACCATCGCGCGCGCTTCGCGCGCGCTCAAGTTCTAGCTAAGATAGTCGTCATCGTCATCATCGCCATCATCATCACCATCATATCTGGCGTCATCGTCAGCGGCATCGTCATCATCACCATGACCATCACCATCATCACAATCGTCATCATCACCACCATCAGCAGCAACATCGTCATCACCATCGTCATCATCGCCATCGTCGTCATCATCGTCAATATCGTCACCTGAATTATCAAAATAATCATCCTCATCATCGCCATCGTCATCATTATCGTCGTCGTCGTCGTGATCGTCATCATCGTTATCGTCATCATCATCGTCATCATCTTCATCATCCGCCCACTCCTGCATCACAAGCACCATAAACAGCATCGCCACCATTATTATCAGCATCGGCGTTATCATCCTGACCATCAGCAGCATCATCATAATGATCGTCAGCATCACCATCCTCAACAGCATCACCGTCATCGTCATCATGATCGTCAGCATCACCACCATCATCATCATCATCATCATCATCATCATCATCATCATCATCATCATCATCATCATCACTCACATCACGATCACCACCATCAACAACATCATCATCATCATCAGCATCATCATCATCAGCATCATCATCATCATTCCCACTGTCAACATCATCATCATCATAAGATTATTCCTCCTCCTCCTCCTCCTCCTCCTCATCATCATCATCATCATCGTCGTCGTCGTCAACTTCATAATAGTCGTCATCATCGTCATCATTTTCGTCACCGTCGTCTCCGAAGCTCCCCCGCCGAACTCGAGGATATCTTCGCAGCGTCTTGCATGCCGCGTGAGCAGTATTGGGGATGTAGGTTGTGAGCCTGAGGCCGCCCTGCATAATCATCATTGTCATTATCACCAGCGTCTGGAAGCCTGGCGGGGCCCTTTCGGCGCCTTTTGGAGGCCTCTTGGAGCTTCCTCCTGGCCTCTCGAGGCCTCTTGCGGACTCCTGGGGGCCTCTTGGGAGCTTCTGGTGGGCGAGGGCTCGAAATGTCAGCTCGTGTTCCCCATCTGGGGCTCCTCTTGGAGTGTTCTGGGAGCTCTTTTGGGCCGTCTTGGAAGCTTCCTGGGCCGTCTTGGGGCTCTCTTGGGCTGTCTCGGTGGTCTCTTGGAGGCCTCTGGGCTCGTCTTGAGGCGATCTTTCGGGCCTCTTGGGCCGCCTTGGAGCGTCTGGAAGCCGAACTGGTGAGAACGCCAAAACCCTTCAAAACCCACTAAAAATCTGTGACAATTTCCTATTGGGCCCCTCCCGAGTGCTGTCGGAGACCTGCTGGGACGCTTTGGCAGCTGTTTAACCGTCTTGGAGTGCTCCCGGGCCGCTTCGGACCTCTCTTGGGCTGTCCTGAGGGCGTCCTGGAGCCATTTTAGAGGGTCCTGGGAGCGTCCTGGCGTCTCCGGCGGGGGGGTGACCACAGCCACTGGGCAAAGTGAGGCCCCCCCCTGGTCCAGGACCCCCTCCCCACATATATATATATATATATATATATATATATACATATATATATACATATGTCTATATATGTGTGTATATACACACAACATACATAAATAAATAAAACATACATACATACATACATACATACATACATACATACATACATACATACATACATACATACACACAACACACATACACACATACACACATACATACATACAATACATACATAACATACATACATGCATACACCATACATCCATACATACATCCATACATCATACATCCATACATCCATACATCCATACATCCATACATCCATACATCCATACATCCATACATCCATACATCCATACATCCATCCATCCATCCATCCATCCATCCATCCATCCATACATACATACATACATACGTACATACATACATAGATACTTAGATACATATATACATAGATGCATGTATACATACATACATACATACATACATACATACATACATACATACATACATGCATGCATGCATACATACATATAGAAACTATAGAAACATACGTAAAGCATGTAGGATTGTGTACACAGGAGAAGGACAATCTATATATAGAAACATACGTACGTCGTCCAAGACGCCTCGGAAGGCGCAGAATACTCCTCCAAGGCGCGGAATCACGTTCCCGGACCGCCGTCCGGGAACATGAGGGGGACGACCTCCTGAGGGCCTCCAGTGGGCCTCTCTTGGAGGCCTCTCGGAGGCCTGTTGGGCTCTCCTGGAGGCGTCTTGGGGCGCGCTCAGGGCCATTTTTGGGCATCTTGGGGGCCTCTGGGGGCCTCCGGGGAGGCTCTTGGGGGCCTCTTTGGGGCCTCTTGGGGCCTCGCGGGGCCCTCTTGGGGACCGCTGGGCTCGCTTAGGCAGTCTTGAAGCCCTGTCGGGGCTCTCCTGGAACCGTCTTGGGCGGCTCCTGGGCCATCTTGGGGCTCTCCTGGGCCGTCTTGGGACGATTTTGGGGGTCTCTTGGGCCGTATTGGGGCGGGCTTGGGGGCCTCTTCGGCCGTCTTGGAGCGGTTTGGGGAGACTCTTGGACGGCCTTGGAGCGTCGGAACCCCGAAAAAGCGAGAAGGCCAAAAACCTCGAAACAAAACAATAAAAAACAACGATTTTTGCTTGTCGGGGCTCTCTTGGGAGGCCTCTTGGGATGCCTTCGGGGCCTCATGGAGCTCTCTTGGAACGTCTTCGGGCCTTCCTGGCCATTCCTGAAGGTATCTATGCGCATCTTGGAGCGCTCGCGGGCCGTCTTGGGCGGTCTCTAACTGTTCCTGGCGGTCCCAGAGGCCCTCTGGGACGCTTCGGACGCTCACGGGGGCGCCCTGCACCCCCATGGAGATTACAGGCAGCGCCCTGGGCCGCCCCCGGGCCCTACTCCGATATATATATATATATATATATATATGTATATATATATATATATATATATGTGTGTAACATGTATATATTATATATATATATATATATGCATATATACCCATATGTATATATATATACATACATACATACATACATACATACATACATTCATACATACATACATGCATACAAACAAACATACATACATACATACATACATACATATATGTGTGTGCGTGTGCGTGTGCGTGTGCGTGTGTGTGTGTGTGTGTGTTGTGTGTTGTGTGTTTTGTGTGTGTGTGTTGTGTGTTGTGTGTTGTGTGTTGTGTGTTGTGTGTGTGTGTGTGTGTGTGGTGTGTGTGTGTGTGTGTGTGTGGTGTGTGTGTGTGTGTGTGTGTGTGTGTGTGTGTGTGTGTGTGTGTGTGTGGTGTGTGTGTGTGTGTGTGTGTGTGTGTGTGTGTGTGTGTGTGTGTGTGTGTGTGTGTGTGTGTGTGTGTGTGTGTGTGTGTGTGTGTGTGTGTGTGTGTGTGTGTGTGTGTGTGTGTGTGTGTGTGTGTGTGTGTGGGGGGGGGTCTCCATGCTGCTGCTGGCATCCTGTTGCTGTTCCTCGATCAGGAGGAAGAGGAGGAGGATCGAGGATCGTGGTGTTCTGGCTGCCAGGATCCTCGCCAGGCGTCCAAGGGCCTCCAAATGCCTCCAGAGACCTCCAGAACTCTTGGCAGATACCTCCATGGGCCCCCCATGAGGGGAGGGAGGATGGAAGGAGGGAGAGATGGAGGGAAGAGGAGGTGGAGGAGGAGGACAAGACTTTACCCAGGATTCATAGACGATGCTGCAAGACAACCTCGCGTGCCAAGTCCCCTCCCCACAAGTCCCTGCAACCTTGAAAGATGAGCACCAGCTCGGTACGCCATTCGGGCGAGAGACCCGATTTGAACAGGGACTGCCGTGCACCCTTCGAGTCAGCACAATATGGAACGCGAGAAGGTACTATCGTACAGTTCAGCGGGGCGTCCAAGGCACCCCCTTCTGTTGAAAAGGAGCTGTCCTCCCATCCGCTCGAGCACCACGTGTGCAAATGCGCACACATGCACGAGTCTGGCCTGCATCTGAGGGGGATCCGCCATCATCTTGCAAGGAGGAGGAGGAGGAGGAGGAGGAGGAGGAGGAGGCGGAGGCGGAGGCGGAGGGGGAGGATCATCTTGCATGCAAGGCGAGAGCCTCATCTTGCAACAAAAGCCGCCCTCCATCCCTGCAGCCGCTGCGAACCTGGACGGCGGATGCGCACGGCACAGGGGCACCCAAGCTCGAGCACGGTTCCCCTCCGTCCCGTGGCCGATGCAGAGCTCGTGAAACCAGCGCGCGGCATGGACGGCGATAGTCTCATTTCGAAAACGTGTGCCACTCTTCACCTTTGTAATCATCGCACCACCTGTGCGAGGCACTTTGGCAAGAGCCCCCGATTTGAAAACAACCTGCCCTCCATCCTTGTGGCTGTTGCAAGCTTCTAAACCGAAGGTGCAAGGAGCTAAGGCGTGAGCCGCATGTAACAACGACCAGCCGTCCAGCTTGTGGCTGCTGGATTCCCTTCGCCTCACGATCGCAAAGTGCAGAGAGTCTCCAGCGAAACGCCTAGGCCAGCCCACGGACACGTCTGGTGGTGCGACAGGGGTGGGGTATTTATAAGGAGGAGGAGGAGGAGGAGGAGGAGAAGGAGGAGCACGAAGATGAGAAAGATGATGAGGAGGAGAACGATACTGACGACCATGACCCCCAGGCGCCGCGAAGAAAACGCGATGAGACGATGCTCGTGTTTTTCGGCATTGAGGAAATGAGTCTTTTGTTTGGAGACGCGCTCGTTGCAAGGCTTGACCTTGTAAGGGGAAAGGGGAGGTGGAGGAGGAGGGCGAGGCTGGGGAGAGGAGGGCGGCGTGTAGGATACACACGCATTCCCGCGGCTTCGGGGCTGCGGGAGGGAGTAGGAAAAGGAGGGGAGGGGCGGGGGGAGGCGGCACTCTCGCTGCAAGGCTGAGGAGGAGGAGTTTGTTACTTGACAAGGTGCCCATGAGTTGTCGTGGGGAAAGGAGCCTCAGTGCTGTCCACGGATGGTGCCGCAGCGCTTGCAGCACCAGAAATGGGAGAGGCTCTCGGCACACCTGCCCTTCAGGTTCTCGCGCAGCCAGCGAGCGGGAGGCCGTCGTTCTCGCGAGGCCCGCCATGGAGCGCCCCACGCTGCAGCCCTGCGAGGAGGGGCCCCTGGCTTAGATATGAGCCAGAACCTTGTAGACTTCTGGCAATCGTACAAGACGAGCCGAGATATGCGCTGGGAACTCGGGTGCTCCCCTCACTGCCCCGAGAGGAACGGCTATGAGGAGGAGGAGGAGGAGGAGGAGGAGGAGGAGGAGGAGGGGGGGAGGGGGGGGAGGAGGAATGATGGAAGACGGAGGAGGCGAGACTGATGCCCCCCTCCCCATCCTCCTCCTCTTCCTCCTTCTCCTCCTCCTCCTCCTCCTCCCTCCTCCTCCTCGTCATCCCTCCTCGTCGTTCCCTTCTCCTCCTCCTCCTCCTCCTCCTCCTCCTCCTCCTCCTCCTCTTTCTCCTCCTTTCCTATTCCTTATACATAACTTCTCCCTGTCGCACCCCGACGCCAGTTTTCAGGGCGGGCCGGGCGTTTCGCCTGAGACTTCCTTTCCATGTATGACTCTGAAGCTTAACAAGTGACAGCAGCTTCACAGATGGAGGGCGGGTGGTTTTCAAAATGTGGCTCTCGCCTTAGCGCAGCGCACATCCGTTCTACAAAATTGCAAGAGCTTCACAGATTGCGGCCGGGTGATGTTCAACATGTTGCTCTCGCCTAGCGCCGCGCACAGTCGTTTTACAAACTTGCAAGGGCTTCACGGATTGAGGGCGGGTGGTCTTCAACATGTTGCTCTCACCTTAGCGCCGCGCACCTTTGTTTTCAACAGTTGTAAGAGTTTCACGGGTTGAGGGCGGGTCGCTTTCAAACTGTGGCTTTCGCCTTAGCGCCGCGCACGTTCGTTGTAAATATGTCTGCAAGACCTTGACGGATTGAGGGCGGTTACTTCTCAAAATGTGGCCCTCGCCTAAGCGCCACGCGCATTCGTTTGCAAGAGTTTCACGGAGTCCCATGATCAACGTACTAGAGATGGTGTTTCGGAAGGATTCAGGATTATGAGGTGGAACAGGTACGTTGATTCGCGGTGTTGAAGTTCCAGGAATGGCGTGCTGGCAATATTCAGGATCCTCAAAACGCAACAGTCACATCGATCCGTGGCGTTGGAAACCCGAGAACGATGTTTTAGCATGCTTCAGGGTCTTCAAACCGTTGTCTTCCAACGAGGTAATTCCCTCAGGGGAGATGAACCGTTGTAGGGGCCTATGAAGAGGGAGCTCGGAGGGACGGTTTATTCCAATATCGTTGATGACTCTTGGGTTTACACTGGTCCTCCTCCTCCTCCTCCTCCTCCTCCTCCTCCTCCTCCTCCTCCTCCTCCTCCTCCTCCTCCCCTTCCCCCCTTCACCTCCGTCGTCCCACTCCATATCCTCCTCCTCCTCCTCCCCTTCGTCCTCACTGTCCCCCTCCTCCTCCCTGGTCTCACTCCGTGCATTCCTCCTTCTCCTCCTTCTCCTCCTCCTCTCCTCCTCCTCCTCCTCCTCCTCCTCCTCCTCAAGCGTTTCCGCCCAATCCGCCCAATCCTCGTTCTCCCTCCTCCTCTCCTTCTCCTTCCCTCCTCTCCTCTCCTCCTCCTCCTCCCTCCTCCTCCTCCTCCTCCTCCTCCTCCTCCTCCTCCTCCTCCCCCCCATCCTCATCCTCATCGTCCTCCTCCTCCTCCTCCTCGCCCGAGCCTTCATGATGATGGACACCGTGTACATGTCAGTGGGGACGGCACGGCGCTCCATGGCATCCAGCACGCGCAAGCCCTCTGCGACGTCCCCGGAGGTGATCGCGGTGCTGGGCGTCGGTGTCGTCATCGTCGTCGTCGTCGTCGTCGTCGCCGTCCTCGATGAGTTGGTGGGAGGACGAGGAGGGACGACGCCAGGATGAGCAGCAGGAGGAGGAGGAGGAGGAGGAGGAGGAGGAGGAGGAGGAGGAGGAGGAAGACGAGGGCGATGTTAAGGAGGAGGTGCAGCAGGAGCAGCAGGAGAGGGAGGAGGCGGGACGAGGAGGGAGGAGGAGAAGGAGGAGGAGGAGGGGGAGGAGGAGAAGGATGAGGAGGAAGAGGACGAGCAAGGGGACGATAGAGCCTCTGAGAGGAGGAGGAGGAGGAGGAAGAGGAGGAGGAGGAGACTGCTCCCTGTCCTCCTGCCCTGCTGCAGCTCTCGCGCCTCGGCCTCCTGCCGCTCCCCCCCCCCACTCTGGAGCTCTCGGCGGGCCCCTGGGGGCCCAGCGATAATCCCAGACGGCCTCAAAAAGTCTCGCTCCTCGCCTCCTCTCTGCCTCGCCCTCCTCGCCTCGTCCCTCCCCTCGTCTCCTCGCCCTCGCCCTCCTCGCCCTCCTCACCCTCACCCTCCCCGCCCTCGCCCTCCCCGCTCTCGCCCTCCTCGCCCTCCCCTCCTCGCCCTCTTCGCTCCCTCCATCCGGAAGAGGAGGGACGGACGAGGGCGGGTCGCCCTCCTGAGCAGGCAGTTGTAGGACGCGGTGTCCTCGGGGCGGGGAGGCGATTCTCAGCAGAGAAAGAACGGTACAGAATAAGCTTCTCCACTGCTGGGGGCGCCTGCCCCAGGGCGGCTGGAAAGTTTATACCCTCACGGTGGCACGTCGGGTTGTAAATTAGCTTTTAGAGGGAAAAGAACTATGCACATGCACCGATTCTGGCCAGGCCCATCCTGAGCCCAGGATCGGTGCATACGCCCTCCTACCTTGGCCAGGAAGGCATATGCACCGATCCTGGGTCAAAAATGGGCCTTGCCAGGATCGGTGCATGTGCATAGTTCTCTTCGCCCGAGCTTTCCAGCCGCCGTGGGGCAGGCGTCCCTGATGGCGGAAAAGCAAAGATTAAACCGTTCTTCGTCGGCTGAGGCTCGCCCATCGCCGATGTGGCGCTTGCGCGCCGCGGCAGCCACGAACGTAGCATTGGCGACTCCGCCTCGATCCGGGGGCGGGCGGTCCTAAGATTCGGCCGGGAGGCTGCTTTTGTTTTTGTCCAGCCCGTCATCGCAAACACTTTCACGTGTAGTCATTGTGCTTTCACCTTGGGCCTTCCAGGACGGCAGCAACGGGACATGGCGCACACAACCATCAGAACAGGCGCGCCAAGTATGGCCCAATGGCCACACTCAAGGAAGGCAAGCGCAAAGCGGAAACCATCCTTGTCGTTCAAGCGTGGAAAAGGCACATCGGGTACCGGCTTACCCAAGAAAGAGCAAAGAGGTCCCCACCCTTCAGTCACTTGAAAATCCAGGAGCCGGTCCTTGGGCACTCTGGCGCGAATCTTGGCATTCCAACTTTCATACCACTCTAGCGCCACCGAACGGTTAAGAAACTCAGGGTCATATGCATATCCTCGCTTTGCATGGTAGAAGCGAACCATCTGGATGAACTTCGCATAGCGGGGCACGATCGCGAGAGGCAACCATGACGATATCTTGTCCACGTGTGTCAACTGCTGAAGACTGTCTAACCACTTCTCTGGATCCGTGCGCGTTGTAAGGATCACTTTAACGTATGGGAGGTACTCAACGAATTCGAGCGCAAACGCGCTTGCTGGATCGTCTGCCGTGGCGTCAAAGCCATTGTGAACAAGCATCGACACGATGTCCGTGATACTCCTCTTGCCCGAGAGCAGACCCATCCACATGCTGCTGTCGTCATTTACAAATACCTCTCGCATGTGGTAGCAGTTGTAACCCAAAATGTCCAACGCCGCCTGCAACGACGCTGTACCAGTGCGGCCAGCACCAGCGCCGATGACCTGAATACCCGCCATCGCGCGGTTCGTCTGCTTACTGCTGCCTGCGAACGTGTCGCAAAGGGTCTTCAAAATCCGCCGACCCTTCGGAGTGTGTGTGTGTGTGTGAGACGCTTTTCCGTTTGAGTCGTCGTCGGCATCGTCGTCAACCTCCTCCTCCTCCTCCTCCTCCTCCTCCTCCTCCTCCTACTCATTTAATTACCTCGTCGTCGTCGCCCCGCTCTCCCTCTCCCTGGGCTCTCCTCCTCAAGCGATCCAGCCAAACAGAAATCAAGCAACATCGTAATTGATTCGAAGGGAAACCTTCCCTTTGATCCCTTCCCTGCCAGGGGCGGGGGGTCCCAAGGGGGTTGGTCCTGGGGGCGTCCTGAAGGGGGTCCTGGGGTTCGTGACCCCTCCCCCAGACGGCCCCCCTGTTGTAGAGAAGTGGGACAGGGGTGGTCTCCGTCGGCAGGGATTCTCAAGACTCAAGACTCCTCTCCCCGCCTCGGCCCCGTCTCCAGCTGTGGCCCCTGCCCGAGCCCGGGCCCAGCCCGGGTCCTGCCCCCGGCCCTGGCACTGCGCCCCCTGGCCTTGGCCCCCTGGCCCCGGCCCCGGCTTCAGCCATGGCCCCAACAGAGCCCAAGAGGCTCCCAAGAGAGCTCCAAGAAAGGCTCCAGATCGTCAGCGTCGTCGTCGCCGTCGCCGCCGCCGCCGCCGTCGTCGTCGTCGTCGTCGTCGTCGTCGTCGTCGTCGTCGTCGTCGTCGTCGTCGTCGTCGTCGTCATCGTCTTCATCGTCGTCGTCGTCCCCCTTCAGGGTCGGCGGCACCGGCCGCAAGGCCCTCTAAATAAAATTGTTCCCTGAAATGTTGCACACACCGATGCTGGACGTACTCACGATGACCAGTGAAGCTGTAAGCATGCTTAGAGGGCAAGCATGCAGTTGCAGTCGCATCCTAATTGTTGCCGATGGATGATAGGAGGCTTATCATTCACCCAGATCGCGACTCCAGCTGGAAGTTGTCAAAGGTGATTGGCCAAGATGGCTTGAGCCCTAATAGCCACGAATTCTATTATCGGGTGCAATTCTAGCATCATCTGGGCGACGAAGCTCAGGAGACCTTTCGCAGGAGGGCATAGGCACCCTACGCGATGGCTTACATAGGCCGCTCACGCGGCACACGTGAAACAAAAGGCGCGTACACCCTCCCTGCCCCAGGCCGATCATCTGGATTACCTCTTGGGCGTCCTTGTGGGAAGCCCTCACTTGGGTGGCGGCAAATCAGGCAGCCATGCGGGGTACGTGTTCTGAGGGGAGCGTGACGCTTTCACCTCGCCCAAAACGGACGAAAAGGGTCAAAATAATGGATCCCAGATGTTCTTTTGGGGGCCTCCTCCTCCTCCTCCTCCTCCTCCTCCTCCTCCTCCTCCTCCTCCAATCCTCCACCTCTGCATTATCCCCACACTATTGAACCACTTTTTACTCCCTCTCTTTCTCTTTCTCCTCCTGGTGGTCCTCATCTTTTTCCTGCTCCTCCTGCTCGTCGTTCTTCTCCTCCTCGCCCTCCTCTCGGCTTTGCGCAAGCACGAGGCCTCGCTCGTCGACACGTGCCTTGTCCTTCCTCCTCCTCCTCCTCCTCCTCCTTCCTGGCCATTTCGCGCCGAGCCTGCGTTTGGCCTGCAGCGAGGCGGCGCGCGGTGCTCTCGAGAGCCAACTTCGAAGCAGCATTGCTCTCGAGGGCTGGATGGCCCAACGCACCCACTCACGGCATGGGCGGGCTTGCGGTTCGTGCAGGGGCGAGCTACAATTTCTGCTGGAAATGGTAGGGCGCCAGGGGCGGCGCGACGTCGGGAGGCTCCCGTGCTCCACGGGACCCCTGCCGACAAGGAGGGCGAGGATCCTGTCAAGGGCAGGCTCCGCAAGCTTCGAGGCCACCTCAACGAGCTGCGGAAGCAGGCCGACGACCCCGACCTGGACCCCACAGTCACAAAGAACATCAACCATCTACATACGCAGCTTGATGACTTGCAGGCGTGTGCCGACGCAAACAGCAAAGCATACCACGATCCACGATGCTTCTCCGAGTGCAAGGTCGTGCGCGAGAAGAAAGAACTTGCGGGACCGCACCCAGGAGCGCATCGATGAGCAGGAGGAGTCCATCGCCGAGGCGCAGGCCAAGCTTGCGAAGGACGAAGCCTTGCTGGCGAAGGACAGCAAGAAGTTGGCCAAGCTGGAGGCGCGCATCGAGGAGCGAAGCGTGCCCAGGCCAGGGCAAGGATGGGAAGCGGCGGTCGCCTACCTCGAGCAGGCCAACAGGTGCCTGCCGGGGGCGTGCCTGCAGCGGCATCGACCCCAGACTGCAGGATGGCCCTCGACCCCGCTGAGGCCCAGAAGAAGACTGAGGACGATAGCGCAGCGGCAACATCAGCTAAGGAGGCAGAGGAGAAGGCGGCAGCAAATACTCAGGCTTCTATGGACGAGGACGGCCACGGAGACAGCAAGCACCAGCCAGGCCGTGGAGGTAAGCGGCATGCGGGGGAAGAGGTCAAGCAGGACAGAGCGCCAGCCTCGAGGACGTCAAAAAGATCATGGCGGAGTGGAGCTGCACGGGTGATCAGGTCGCTCGGCATGCTGGCAATGCGATGTCATTGCTTAGGGTCATGCAGTCGGAGCACTGCCCAAGCATCTCCAAGATTACCTGAGTGGGTACGTCTTCCTCCTGACGCCAAGGAGATTGACAAGCAAGAACTCTTCAGCGTCAACGCCAACTCCATCGGCAAGCTGGAGCGGGTGATGGCGCACGTCCGCTGCTACAGCGAGGCGCCAGTGGCCATGGCTAAGGGGCTGCAGGCCACAGAGCATGCGATCTCATGGTTCACGCAGCGGATTCAAAAGCATAGCTGGAAGCTCGGCACTGTTCCCAGCGTGAAGAAGCAAGGGGGGGCATGGGCGCGGGGGTGCTCATCGCCACACTCGCCTCCAGAGGCACGTGCTGCAGCCGCGGCGGGAGCCGCACTTGGGACATCTCCCCGCCCGAGTCCAAGGGCAGGCTCGCCATCGGCTGGGTCAACGCGGTTGCAGAGGAGGGGATCACCATACACCCTGCGAAATGCTTAAGAAATCATGGGTTAAGAAATTCATGGTCTCAGAAATGGAATAAAACCCAGAACTTCTATCAACACATCTTGGGATTTACATTGAAAAGTTAAGAATAATCGAGACTTTGGACGAAAACTTAGGTTTTCTTAAACATCGCCTAAGGTGTAGGCTCGGCATACCCCTGGGTCAACGAAGGCATGACACCGCGGAACTTGAGCATCCTCAGGAGTTTCACCAATGCGGTCCAAGCAGCAGGACGATGTTGGATACCTGGGGGTGACTTCATCGGATGTTCGCGCGGATTTCTTGGATCTGCGCTGGGTCCCCTCCCTGGCGCAACCAGGGGGGGGTCCAGCGCAGATCCATGAAATCCGCACGGACCGTCGAATTCATCCTTGTGCTGATTTTACAGTCGGCCCGTATCATAAGGATGCGCGATAAGGATGCAAGAGCCTTGGACGCCCATTCCGAAGCTTCTCGGGCGGGGAACGGCCAACGAAAGTGGCCAAGGATGGACCGAGGAGGCAAGGATGCAAGGGTACCCTTCGAAGGTTGCCCATCCTTACTTTGCGGGTTGACTGTGTTCTTCGATCAATCTCAACATCAACATCAACATCACCACCATCCTCCTCCTCCTCATGGGCCACGGGCATGGGCATGTTGGGGGCAGTGGAGGCCATCTTGGAGGGAAAGGCTCCCAAAGCTCATTCGACCTCCCCGTACTGGGCCTCTCTTGGGGGAATTGTGGAGGCTTCTGGGGCCATCTTGGAGGCCTCCCGGGCCATCTTGGAGGCCTCTTGGACCATCCTGGGGCGACGTTGGTGGCTTTTCGGGCCGCCCTGGAGCGCCTCGACCAAAGACCCCTGGAGAAGGTGAGTGCAGCACCAAGCAGTTTGTGGCAAGCAGCAAAGCGGCGGGGCGGGGGGTGGGCGGCTCTGTGACCGCGCCTCTTGAAGCCCTTCGGCCTTAGCTACGCGGACCTATGTTTTGAAGTCGCAATTCCACATGAAATCTGATCATATTATTGAAGTAGTGCTGTATTGAGACGCCCCTCTTGGAAGTCTCTGAGGAAGGGCCAGCCCCTTCTGAGCGACCCCTCCCAGGGGGCCTTCCTGGCCAAGTGCCCCTAGCCCCAGCACCATGGTCGACTCGAGCGCAGGACCCATGGCCGTCTCAGATCTCGGAAGGGGACTGAACTCTCAGCCGCGAGGGTGCTCGCGCGTTGGGTCCCATTCTCCACTACCGGCCAGAGGAAAAGCGCGAGAGCTCAAATAAAAAATGCAATGCAGCAATACTCTAGACGTAGATGTAATAAAGTTGTGCTAATACCTGCGCTGGAACAGCTTGTTCTGGAGGTCCAATGGCAAGGCGCGCGCGGAAGAAGGAAAGAAATACACGTCCGGACTGCAGCGAAGCGTCTCGGCAGTCCGACAAGACGGGTGTGTGACGCAAGGGCCCGGCCACCATGCGTCAAGGAAGGCCCATTGCAAAACATGGCATTCTTATACATTGCCAAGCAACCTGCCTTAATCCCCTGGGCCCCCGCCCAGTCGCCGACCCAGCCGTGCGAAATTTCAAACCTGTCAAAAAAAACAATGGAAACTACGTGATGTTCGCCTTTTGGGCCCCCTTGGAGTCCACAGAGGAATCCCGACGGCTCAGGATGACCTCACAACGACACAGGACGGTCTCAGGACGGCCTAAGATAGCCCCGAGAGGGCCCCAGAGGCCAGAAAGAGGAACCCAAAAAGACTCCTACGAGCGCCTCCGGAGGGCAAAAACATGATTTAGGCGTTCTCGCAGTTTCGAAGTTTCGGCCGCCTGTAACGGCCCAAGCAGCCTCCGAAATGACCACCTTGGGGCCTAAGGAGACATCATAAAGCCCAAGAGGGCCCCAAGACCGCCCAGAACAGGCCCCCAAAATGGTCCAAGACGCCCTCAAGACGGCCCAAGAGGACCCCTAGAGAGCACCAAAGTGGCACCAAGAAGCCTCCAAGACGGCGCCCGCAGGGTCCCGACGGCGCAAGAGCGCTTCAAGACGGTCCAAGACGCGCCCAAGAGACCCCAATGAGGCCCCCCAAAGGCCCCAAGAGGCCCCCCAAAGAGGCTTCCAAGAAGCCCCCAAGAGGCCCCATCGATGCGTGCAACTTTGTCACACGTGCAAGAACGCAAAATGACACCCAAGATGGCCCACAAAAGATGCCGGAGGACGGCCCAAGGAGGCCCCGAGGCGCCTGTCGAGGCCATACGAGGAAACATCACAAACACCTGAAACAACAAAGGGAATCTATCATGAGTTTGGCTTATTCAGCCTCCTAGTGGTCCAAGAGGGCCTCAAGAAAGCTCAAGCTGCTTCAACGCTCCAAGAGGTCCCCACGAGGCCCCAAGGAGGCCTCCAGAGGCCCCCAAGAGGCTCCCAAGAGGCCCCCATCTGGGATGTACGTGGTCCGGACGTGTGCCCCGCGAAGCGAGAGGAATCCACGCGCAACCGCACGTCCAAAATTTAACGGGTCGCCGCGAAGAGGGACCCCCCGCGGAAGGAGGAAAAGTAATCCAAGCCGGGGGCTGGGGGGTCCAGGCATGAGTCGGGGAGGCGGTAGTTCCCCCCGAAGCGCCCTAAAACCCCCCAAAAAGACGCCGCCGATGCCGACGTCGACGTCGTCGCCACCGTGGTTGCTCCCCGCGTCTCCGGGCAGAGGCCCGCCGCGGCGATCTCCCGCATCATGGCGCTGGCGCTGGCCAGGTCGCCCTCGCACGCATGCCGGGCGCGGGGGCGGCGCGCGGCGCGGGGCCTTCTCCCCCTTTCGCCCCACTCTTGGCGACCTTCGGCGCTCCGGCCAGGAGAAGGATGAGGATGATGAGGAGGAGGAAGGAGGAGGAAGAAAAAGGAGAAGGGGGAGGAGGAGGAGGAGGAGGAGGAGGAGGAGGAGGAGGAGGAGGAGGAGGAGGAGCATGAGGAGGAGGAGGAGGACCCCGAGGCGCGCCTGCTGGCCTACCTGGACGACAGCTACCTCAAGGCTACGCTGGCGGCGTTGGAGGCAGCGTACGCCGCCGCCCCCGCCGCCTTCGGCCGAGTGGGCCTCTGGGTAAACGCGGCAAAGACGCAGGTGTGGAACCCTTGGGCCTGCAACTCCCAGCGTGCCTGGCCGGGAAGGTCGTGCCGCAAATGCAATGCCTCGGGACGCTCCTGCCGTTCGTGCGCGGCGGAACGGCTGCAGAGGGGCTCAGCGCCGACCCAGCGAGGGTAAGCTTGACGCCGACGGCGGCCCCCGCGGCGCCGACCGAGCACCTGACCGCCTACCTCGGGAAGCTGCGCGGCTTGCGGGCGCACGGGCTCAAGGCGCAGGACGAGGTGGTCCTCGCCAGGACGTTCGCGAACGGGGCGCCGCTGCACCACGCGCGGGCGCACCTCCTCGGCGAAGAATGGTGCCGGGACTACGACAACAAGGTGGTGCACCACCTGGAGGGCCTGCTCGGGCGACCACTGCCGCCAGACGCGCGGGAGCAGCTTCCCTCCCCTTGGCGGAAGGGGGGGGGGGGGGCTGGGCGTGCACAGCATGGCCCAGCGCAGGCTCGCCGCCTTCGCCAGCTCCTGGCTCGGCTGCCTGGCGGACGTCCGGCGGGAGCTGGGCGAGGCCAGCTTGGGCGCCTTCGCCTCGAGCTGCCCCGACCTCTGGGCCGCGGCCGAGCAGGCGGGCAACGCGCCCCGGCTCGGCGCTGACGAGTGGCTCAGGGCCGCGGCGGAGCCCAAGCTGAAGGCGCAAAAGGAGCTCGCGCGCCACGAACGGGACGAGGGCCGGAAGCGGCTCCTGGCGGCGCTGCCACCAAAGCAAGCTGCCCAGCTGCGCTCGGCGAGCGGGAAGGGGGCTGGCAGCTGGCTCCTACCGCCGACACAGGACGACCACCGCCTGGCGGACGAGCACTACCTGCTGGCGCTGGCGCTGCGCCTCCGCCTCCCGAGGCCCGCTGACGCCTGCGCCACTTGCCAGCGCCGTCGCGCCGATGGGCAACTCTGCGGAGCGGGTCTCGCTCGGGACCCGACTCACCCCCTGGGCTGCCACGCCGGCGCGGGCACGATCGCGCGCCGCAGCGCCATCCGCGATTGGCTAGCAGGCTGGCTCAAGGGGCGCGCCGAGCAGCTATTCCCTGCTTGGGACAGGGTCCTCCAGGATGGCCGCCTGGAGGCGGCGCGGCTGGACGTGACCTACGTGGACCCGGTGGCGGGCACCATGTACATGGACCTCGCGGTGACGGACGCGGCCGCCGGGGCCGCGACGCCGGCGGAGCGGGGCCGGACTTGGCGCGACGGGTCCGCGGCGGCCGCATCGGAGGAGCGCAAGCACCGCCGCTACCCTGGCGCGGCGCTGCGCGCTTTTGCGCTGGAGACGCTGGGCAGGCCAGGGCGCGAGACGCAGGACCTCCTGCGCACCTGGGCGGCCGGCGACGAGGCCGAGCTCTCGGCAGCGCGCCAGAGCCTGGCCGCCGCGCTGCAGCGGGCCAACGCCGAGGCGTACAACACCTCGGCGTGGCCGCCGGGCGGCGCGCCCGGCCGCGCCCCCTGAGACGCTGAGCGGCTGACCGACGCACTACCCGCCCGAGGCCGGCCCCCTGGGCTGGGCGCTGGGGGCACCGGACTAGTTGAAGGCGCACGGCGCGGCGCTGGCGGAGGTACGCCAGGGCGGCGGCGCCGGCGCCGCAGCGCGGCGGCCGCGCGGCGGCAGCGGGCCGGGCGGCGGCCCGAACCGCCCAGGCCGCGGGCGGCGGCACGCGGGCGCGGGGCAGGCGCGGCGGCCGCTGTCGGCGGCGCGGCGGGCGTCCGGCGCCGCTGCCTGTCTGGCTTGGCTTTGAAACGGGAAGTTGCCGCCGCTGCGGGGGAGGGCACTGCGCCGCTCACCTCGAAACAGACACGTCCCGATGCAGGCCTTCTCCGCCTCGTCCTGCTCTTCGACTTCCCAACTCTTCCTCTTCGACTTCTCTCCCTCTCCCCCTCTCCCTCTGCAGTCTTCCCTCCCTCTCCCTCCCCCTCCCCTCCCTCCTTCTTTCTGTCTCTCTCTCTCTCTTTCTCTCTCTGCTGCTGCCCTCGCCCAGGCCTTGGCAGAATGGCCCTTCATGAGCGTGTTGTAGGTGATGAGGTTGGGTTCCACGCCTGACCAGCCAGAGGTTCCCCGCCACAGGCCGATCAACGCTTCCACTCGCACGCGCCCCACACCCGGCAGCGGAAGTGTGAGAAGCAATCGTATGCAGGAGAAGGACCGCTCTGCCTGTCGCCGCACACATGCACAGCGTGTGCGTGGCAGCGCACATCACCTCCAGGTTGCAGACGCGATGGTTCACCAAAAGCTCTGCTCGCTTGACCAAAACTTAGCATGCTCGCACGCATACGCGCGCACACAGGCGCGTATACGTGCGCACTTGCGTTCGAGCAGACATACTACGGTGACGTACACCTAGGTCGGCGCACATGCAGCACTGCACATTCGCATGCGTGACCACCACCACGTCTGACATCATGATGCAGTGCGCCTTCTGTGCGATGGTGAGTATGATGACGACTACGACGGCGGCGGGGACGTCAACGGCGACCGCGACTGCCACCGCGACTACCCGATAGCACCACCTTCGCTCAGTCCTGAGTCCTGATTCTAGCCATCAACGTAGCACACTTCAGAGACGTCACGCTCATTAGTCAGGAAAGGATGCCCGTCGCCACAGCAGCTCAGGATGACGTCGCAAAGGATAGTTACAAAAAGGCGCCCACCACCATTGAAGAGATCTGAGTAAGAGTAACTCAGTCCCCAAGTCAGATTCCCGCCGCGACGATGACGGGAGTGTTGCCCATGCTGTCATCGAGCCGAGGGCCTTCTTGAACGACGCTTCCTCAGCCCCTGTGCGGGCAATACGATGCTCGCCAGGCTTGGGTATCTTGTCCTCCCGCTCCAAGCGCCGATACGCTGGGTCTTGCTTGCTGTTCTGGGGGAGTCCCGCGTAATCAATGAGCACTGCATCGTGGTCAGATGCGCCCAGGAGATCCAGCTGCTGCACCAACTGTTGCAACTTCATCCAGCTTGGGTGGGTGATCCTTTGAAAACCACGGGTGAGACAGAACGAACCTGTGCTTGGGATCACTTCTGGCAGCAGGGATGAGGAAGAGGAGGAAGCAGAGGAGGGGGAGCATGAGTGGACAGGGAAGGAAGAAGAGGAGGACGATGAGGAGGAAGAGGAAGGGTGAGAAAGTTGGAGGACGACGAGGGGGTTGAGGAGGAGGCGAATGAGGAGGACCCTCCCTTGAATGACGAGCGCATCCTTGGCCTGCCACTCAGGTGAGACATGCTTTTGTGAAGGATCCATCCTCCATGCTTGGATCGAACAGAAGAGCGAAGAGGTATGATGATAAAGATCAAGGACATGACGAATGATAACCTCGCTTTGCCATTGATCAGCCCTCCGCGCACGTGCTGCAAAATTTATAAGTCCAGGTCATAAACTTGCCAAGGTGTGCCGAAATGGGCACGGGACGCATGTGAACGCAACCACTGGGGTCTTCGGAGAGCTCTCTATGGGGCCACGAACCGTGTGAGGGGGGTACCGACATGGGCGCGGGACGCGAAGGCAGCGGCTGGGGTCTTTGGAACTCCCCATGGGGCCACAAACCGTTTGAGACATGTTCCGAAATGGCTCACATGCGTAGAGCAGAGGCACGATGCTGACGATGGCGATGGTGATGATGTGGATGGTGGCGATGGCGATGGTGAGAACGATGATGGTGACAATGATTATGATGAAGATGAGGACCTGCGGAGGGCAGACGCAGGGGTGGGATGAGAGGGAGGGCAGCGGGTGGATAAGGAGGAATGAGAGGGAGGAGAAGTGAAAGTAAGGAAGGAAGGAAGGAGAGCGGAGCACTCCCTTCAAAACGAGGACCCAACACCCCAGGATGATTGGGAAAAAAGAAACAGAAATATAGAGAGGGAGAGAAAGAGAGAGAGAGAGAGAGAGAAAGAAAAAAAACAACAACAAAGAGATAGAGAGAGGGAGAAGGGAAATTTGCGAGGGAAATTCGCCGACCCTGTCGGCGTGTGGAATGCGCTGTTCCGTTTGACTCGTCGTCGTCGTCGTCGTCGTGGTCGTGGTCGTTGTCGTCGTCGCCCTCGTCGCCGACGTTCGTCGTCGTCGTCCTCATCGCCGCCGCTCTCCTCCCCTCTCCGGTGCGCCCGTCGCCTCTCCCCCCTCTTCCATCACGCCCTTCTCCTCGAGCAAATTAGCCAAAGCGACATCCCAAGAAGGGGGTGATGAATAGGGGGGGGATCTCATGGCGTAGCCCATGATATTTCCTGAGATTTCATGGCGCCTCGTCTTATTTCACTACGTCCCTGCCCCCCCTCAATTCTCACGTCGTGGTTGAGTCGAAGGGAAGCCTCTGTCCTTTGATCCCTTCCCTACCAGGGGGGGTGTCCGGGGGTGGGGGGCCCCGGGTTAGAATGCCCTTCTCCCCGGCGTCGTCGTCGTCCTCGTCGCCGCCGTCGCCGTCGCCGCTCTCCTCCCCTTTCCCTGGGCCCGTCGCGTTTCCCCCCTCTTTCATCGCGCCCTTCTCCTCGAGCAACTCAGCCACAGCGAAATTCAGCAACGTCGTCTTTGATCCCGTCCCCGTCGGGGGGGGGGGGGAACGGGGTCGCGGGGGGAGTCCCAAGGGGGAGTCCCGGGTCAGAATGCCATCCTCCAGAAGCCTCTTCCCGTTGATCCCGTCCCCGCCGGGGAGGAGGGGGGTCCCAGCGACACTGCCGATAACCCCATGCTCACGATAATAAAAACTAGGGGATAATAAAGTTCGGGGTTCAGGGGGAGATAATCAAAGTAGCCCACCAGACCTCAGCATAATCTCGAAGTAAGAGATGATCAAGAGGAGACCAAACCGAGCACGTTTTGAGACATCCTTGGCGTCTAGTCTTCATTAAAATATCCTCAACAATGGCTTATCTCGCTGGAGACATCCTCGACAAATCCCTTGTTTCGCTTGAGACATCCACGAACTATTGCTTATTTCGCTTGAGACACCGTCAAACTATTGCTTATTTCGCTTGAGACATCCTCGAAATAATTGTGTTTTCGCTTGAAACATCATCAAACTATTGCTGATTTCGCCTGAACATCCTGAAACTATTGCGTATTTCGCTTGAGACATCCTGAAACTATGGCTTATTTCGCTTGAGACACCGCCAAACTATTGCTTATTTCGCTTGAGACATCCTCGAAATAATTGTGTTTTTTATTCTCGAAGGTCTTATTGTCTGGTTCTGCTCTCTGAGCAGCCATCTGCTTGAGCAGCTCTGCTTCAGCAGCTCACCTTGAGCAGAGAGAGATAATGAGAGAAAGAGGAGAGAGGGAGGGAGAGAGAGAGAGAGAGAGAGGTGAGACTCTCTCTCTCTCTCTCTCCCGCCGTGCGCTCCTCTGAGGTTTATTATCGTCGGCAGTTTTTGTTTATCATCGGCTGAGGTTTATTATCGTCGGCAGTTTTTTATCATCGGCAGTGGTCAATCGCAACTCCTGAGCTCTCCCGGAAGACGGCGGCACGCAAATGATACGCATTTTTTGAAAAACTTCATTTTGAAAAAAAAAACTTGTTTTAATTGCGAATTCCATTGTAATCCTTTCAAAATTGCGAAATCGAGCCGTCAGGCGCTTGAATGCCACATTGCGTTCGAGATTTAAGCACGCGACGCATTTATGAGAAATTTGCGTCGCACGCGCTTTTGCCCGAATATCGAACGCAGTGTGGCATTCAGGCGCGTGCGGGTTCGACTTCGCAATTTCGAAAGGATTTCAATGGAATTCGCAACCAAATATAATTTTTTTTGTCAAAATAAGGTTTTTCAAAAAAATGCGTGTCATGAGAAAATTGCGTCGCACACGCTTTCGCCTAAATCTCGAACGCAGTGCGGCATTCAAGCGCCTGACGGCTCGATTTCGCAAATTCGAAACAATGGAATTCGCAATTAAATACAATATTTTTTTCCAAAATGAAATTTTTCAAAAACATGCGTATCATTTGCGTGCCGCCGTGTTCCCGGAGAGCTCAGGAGTTGCTATCGACCACTGCCGATGATAAAAAACTGCCGACGATAATAAACCTCAAGAGGTTGTGCTGAGGGGTTGTGCTGCAGGGTTGTGCTGGATGGTTGTGCTGGAGGGTTGTGCTGGAGGGTTGTGCTGGAGGGTTGTGCTGGAGGGTTGTGCTGGAGGGTTGTGCTGGAGGGTTGTGCTGGGGGGGTTGTGCTGAGAGAGAGAGAGAAGGACAAAAAAGAAGATAGAAAAGAAATATTTTTTAAAAAAAAAATAGGAAAGATATAACACATTTCGCAAAACAAAATCTTACAATAAAGAAGAATAATAATAAGAAGAAGAATAAGAAGAAGAGAATATATATATATATAGAAAGAAAGACAGATAGAGGAGGAGGAGGAACAGCAAAAAATCCAAGTTTCAAATCCATCATATTTTATTTAGAAACGCTTTATCAAAATTGAGAGAGAGAGAGAGAGAGAGAAGAAGAGGAGATAATGAAAAGCAAGAGAGGAAGGAGAGGAGGAGAGGAAAGGAGAAGACAGGAGAGGAGCAAGAGGAGAGAGAGATAGAGAAACAGAGAGAGAAAAAAGACAGAGAGGAAATAATAATAAAAAACATATCAGACTTTCCATGGATAATCAACCCCAGGGATAAACAAGTTCAGGGGGGCATGGGGGGGAGAGAGACAGAGAGATAGAAAGAGAGAGAGAGAGAAGAAATAATGAAAATGAAGAGGAGAAGAAAAATTCAAGAGGAGAAGTAGAAGAGGAGAGGAAGAGGAAAAGGAAAAAAAAATCAAGTTCCAAATCTATTATAGTTTATTTACAAGCGCTTTATGACAATCGTTTTTTAAGTGCTCGTGTAGGAGCTCATGTGCCTCACTTTCCGTGGATAATCAACCCCAGGGATAAACAAGTTCAGGGGCGCATGGGGAGAGAGAAAGATATAAAGAGAGAAATAAAGAAAACAAAGAGAGAGTTGAGGGAAATACATAAAATAAATATTAAAAAGGAAAAGGACAAGAAGACATGAGGAGGAGAAGTAGAAGAGGAGAGGAAAGGAGGATAAAACAAAAAATATGAAGATTCAAATGTATTAAATTTTTATTTACAAGCGCTTTATGGAAATTAAAATTTTTAAGTGCTCGTGTAGGGTAGCTCATGTGCCTCACTTTCCGTGGATAATCAACCCAAGGGGTAAACAAGTTCAGGGGGGCATGGGGAGAGAGAGGAACAAAAGAAAGAAATAAAGAAATATAAAAAAAAAAAAAAAGAAGGAGAAGAGAAGAGGAAGAAAAAGAGCAAACATTTCAAGTTCCAAATCTATTATATTTAATGTACAAACGCTTTCTGAAAATTGTTTTTTTTTGAGTGCTCGTGTAGGGTAGCTCATGTGCCTCACTTGCCATGGATAATCAACACCAGGGATAAACAAGTTCAGGGGGGCATGGGGAGAGAGAGGAAAAAAAGAAAGAAATGAAGAAATATGTAAAGAAATAAAAAATATAAATTAAGAAAAAAGAAGGAAAAGAGAAGAGGAAGAAAAAGAGCAATCCTCGAGTATATGCTTGTTTCGCTTGAGACATCCTCGACAAGCTTCTCGAATCGCTTGAGACATCCTCGCAGAATTGCTGGTTTCGCTTGAGACATCCTTGAAACATTGCTCGTTTCGTTTGAGCCTGCCTCCCAAAATTCTTGGTTTCGCTTGAGACATCCTGAAAAAAGTGTGATCGCTTCGCTTGATGTTGCTATTTCAACATAACTTGATCTTGCTATCTCAACATAACGTTCCGAGGTGATAATGAAGTTTGGCCTCCGCGCCCCGCGCCCCCGACCAAACTCTTATTGGTCGACGATAAAAAACTCTAACGACTTAAGGGGGGGGGGGTACATTATTATCGTGGGCATGGGGTTATCAATACTTCGGCCCCGCCTCCCACAAACATACCCCGGATCCTAATAAACCGCCGGCCCCCCTTGCGGGGCCGCCAGTCTACTGTGCGCGAGCCTCCTGCGAACTCTTGGAAGCGTCTCATTCCGACCTCCCCTGACGCCTCTGCTTGTTGCCTTTTTCATCATGAGGGTCGTCCTCCAAGGTCTGCGGCACCGGCCGTAAAGCCTTAAGAATAAGAGGGCATGGGTACTGAAGACCGAAGCGAGGGAAGAGGGAGAGACGAGAGGGCAGAGGGAGCGAGGAGGCAAGGTGAGGGAGGGTATGCGGCAGGGGGAGGGAGAGGCAGAGGGCAGAGGGAGGACACACGCTGAAGAGCGAACACCTCCCACTGCCCCTGCCTCTGCCGCCGCAACTGCGCCCAGGGAGCGCGGGAGGGCGCGCCCTTCCGCCGCATCTCGCCGAGGAGCCGCTGCGCCTGGCGCGGGAGGCGGGCGCGCAGGGCAGCAGCAAACCCGCACGGGGCTCGCGTGGCCTCCTCGACCAGAGCTCGAGACTGCCGCAGCTGCCGCTGCCGGTGCCGCTGTAGTCGGACCGGACCCTTCAAGACCACGAGACCCTCCGTCGGCCAACACTCACACAGAACGTGCAGGGGCACCCTCCCCAGGATGTACGACAACATCCAACCAGCACGACGAACATTAGGGCACCCGCCCCAAACCGACGTCGATCTGATATCTCGGTCCGACTGTACCAGTGCCACTACAGCTCCACTGGCGCTGTCACTGCCGTTGCCACTGCCGCTCCCACTGCGTGCTCGAGGGAAGAGAACGGTTTTTCGAGTACGGAGAAAGATGTGAGCACGTTCCTGAAAACAGGCGACAGCACAACGCCAACAATCAAACACGCCCTGTCGTTCGGAGGCACGTTAAGGTTGGCCACAACCACTGCCACTACCACTACCACTGCCACTGCCGCTGCTATTGCCGCTACCACTTCCACTTCCGCCACCACCACGGTCACTGCCACTCTCGCTTCTGCTGACTCTTCCAGTACCGCAATGGGCACCACTGCCGCAGCTAGTCTACAACTATGACTACACATGAGGCTGCAACTCCACGACAGCGTGTTCCCGAATAGGAGGAATACGTCCGAGGGGGATGAACAAGCGGGATGGGAGGGGCAGAGGGGAGCAGGAGCGAGAGGCCAAGTCGATAATTATCGCCTCCTCTGCGATACAATCGTTCCGCCAGACTCTCGACCCCCATCTCCATGTGGCTTTTTTCGAGGCGGATCGATCTGTGGGGGCCCTGGCTGCCGATAAAGTGTGATCCCCGTTGTTTGTTTCGCTGCTTTTTGTTACGGCAAGGACGCCAGTATCCAGCGTTGTGAAAAGAAGACGCTGGCATAAAAACAACACCGCCATATCCCCCGATCCTTGTGCGATATTTCCTCGAGCCAGATCGACCCGTGAGGGCCTGGGGGAGCGGAACTTGGCGGTGACGCCTGCGCGCTGGAGGGCGACATCGACGACGATGACGGCAGGCAGATAAGGAGCCAGACTCTATACGCCGACGCTTTTTTCTGGCCCCGCACTGGAACTCGCACAGGGAAGCGGATCCTGGTGTATACGGGATCCTGGTGTGTACATTTTGCGCTGCCTCCCCGGGACAAATGCGGGAACAGGTGTACACCGCGCCACCCCGGCGTCGTCCCTGACCCTCCACGAGTCCTGGGCTTGGAGAACGGCCCGCTACTGGCAATGTGGGCTCCAGCTTCCGAGCAGAAGAGGGCGGCGGCGTCGACGGCAGCGACGAGGGAGGCGACGACCGAGGGAGCCCCGCGCAGGCGCGCAGCCGCCCACGGCCGAGGCCCCATGCCGGCAGGGCGAGGCGGGCGAGGTCGCAGGCGCGCCCGCCGCCGCCTTGCGGGCCGGCCGCCGCCCGCCGCCCTCGCGTGGGGCGCACGGAGACATGCCAGTGCCAGGTGTCCTCCTCCTCCTCCTCCTCCTCCTCCTCCTCCTCCTCCTCCTCCTCCTCCTCCTCCTCCTCCTCCTCCTCCTCCTCCTCCTCCTCCTCCTCCTCCTCCTCCTCCTCCTCCTCCTCCTCCTCCTCCTCGTCCGACCCGAGCATGCAGCAGACCCGCCTTGCAGCGTGCCGTTTCCCGAGCGGCGTGGCCAGAAAGCGCCCGCCACGACGCGTGTGCTTATAGGACTTCTCGGTGCGCGCGTCGCTCCCGGGGCGGCGACGCACGCCTAGCAGCTGTATGGCGGGGCGCCGCCCCTCGCGCGCGCGCAGGGGGCGCCTCCTGCGCGCCCCCGTGCGAGACGCACACGTCCAGCACCGCGTTGTAGACCATCACGTCGACGCCTCCCGTCGTCGTCGCCGTCGCCGCCGTCGTTGCCGCCGCCGTCGGCGCCGCCCTCTTCGTCGCCGTCGCGGCCGTCGCCGACGCCTCCCGCATCGTCGTCGTAGCCGTCGTCAGCGCCAACGCCGACGCCTCCGTCAGCGTCGCCAGCGTCGTCGTTGCCGTCGTCGGCCCCCCCCCCGGCATTCGCGCTAGCAGCGCGCACATTCGTGTGTAAAGCCTACAAACAGATCCACGGATGGCTGGAGGGCGCGTGACCTTCAAAATGCAGCTCTCGCCTCAGCGCCTTCAAGAGCTGCCGACTTGTACGCGGAATTGAGAGCGGCCCGTGTTCAAAATGTGGTCTAGCGCCGCGCACGTTTGCCTTCAATGTTTCCAGCGGCTACAAGGCTGGAGGGCTCTCGCCTTGGACCTCCTTAGGCTGTCTGACCGAATGTATAGACGTATAAGCTTGTGCAAATAATTGCGCAGATGGAGGCCACCCCTTTTTCGAGATCGGCCCCTGGAAGGACTTCTGCCCTCTTATGACCACCACACTTGCAAGACCGTGCGTCACCTACACGGATCCAGGGCGGTCTGTTTTCTTCAAAGCAGGGCTCCTTGCTGGACACTTCTCACAAACTTGATGAATCGTGCCCCCTGGTATGTACACCCTGCGAAATGCTTAAGAAATCATGGGTTAAGAAATTCATAGTCTCAGAACTTGAATAAAAAACCCTACATTTCCATTCAAATCTTAGGATTTACATTGAAACATAAGAATAATCGAGACTCTGGCCGAAAATTCAAGTTTTCTTAAGCATCGCCTAAGGTGTACATATAAGAACCGATGTGCGCTTTTTGGTCCAAGATGGAGCTCTCGCTTGAATGGCAGGCCCATGAGGCCTTCCTTCGTGTTTCAAAGGTGGCTTCCCAGTTTGCAGAGACATCCCTGTAAGGACTTATGATGATGTGGCCGGGGACGGGAGGGTGTAGTGAAACATCGCGGATGCACTCTGGCTTTTGCTTTTGTTCCCCTCCTCCTCGTCCTCCTCCTCCTCCTCCTCCTCCTACTCCTTCTCCTCCTCCTCCTCCTCATCATCATCATCAATATCGTCCTCTGCATCCATCTATACAATCAGAGCAAAGATCAAATTCAACCCATGCACACAGAAGAGCCCAAACCCAAACGAGCCAGGTCCAGCCGCGGCGACGAGAACACACTGGCCAATGACGGCGGCCCCATGTACGCACCGTCAACGCTCCTGCAAAAGCGGGAGTCAGAGGGGGAGAGAGCTGCTCGACATCGGGGTCGAGCTCCGCCAGGTCCGCAAGAGCGATCCTGGGAAGCGGAAGAGTCCATCGGTCATGAACGCATCCGTGATGACTTCGAAGCTGGCTCGGGGTTCCCTCTCCTCCGGGGATGCCGAAGTGCCCCCTCGCGTGGTAGCACCAAGATTAGGAAGGGTGCTCCCTCACTGCGTCAATCATCGTCGGGCACTTCGCGGCCAGGATCGACCGGGCATGTCTTCCAAGCTCTCCCAGCGTGTCACGCGTCCACCGAGTGGATCTCCACGCTCCTAGCCCCAAGGAGGCGTGTGTTCTCGGGAAGCGCAGCGCACGAGAGGGCAGAGACGGTCGTGCCACTGTCGGACAGGGTGGGTCGTAATTGAAGGCACGTCCACGAGCCATCTCGCCAGCACAGCGAAGACCTTCCCACGGAGGACGAAGACGAAGAATTGAGGTCTCCACCCAAGGTCGCCAGTGCTCTCGATGGCGCACTCCTCGCGCGGGAAGTCCAGCCCGAGCACGGCACGCGCCCCTGTTCATTTGCCAGAAAGCTCTCGGCGAGCCCTTGGAACTGTTCTAACTAACGACCCCTCCCCCTCTCCAGAATGCACAACATATGTAGGTCCCGCGCCCTGGACTGGCCGAGGAGCACGCAAACTAAGGTCGAGGCGCTCCCTTCGCAGTGTCAACTTCGGCTCTTCAGCCGCGTGCGGCGCGGCAAATCTCGCAAAGCAAATCGGGGGCCGGGTGTCCAGACAGGGGGGGGCCGACAGCAAACTTATCCTGGAGACCCACGGATCTATTCCTTCGGTGTTCTTCCCTTCGCGCGGCGCGCGCTTCGTCAACCTCCCCCGTGGCAGGGTGGGGGGCCAACTATTCCAAATGCTTCCCTGCATGCCTAGACCTGCCGCACATGTTTCAGCAGCTAATCGCCCGTGCATACCGGGCACGCTGGGCATGAGGCTCTGGTGACAAAGAAGGCGTCAAAGCCACTCGGGTGCCACCAGGCACGGTGAGCCCGCAGGTGCCTTTGGGACGACAACATCGTTCCACATTCGTAGCGCACGAACTTCGCACACACTTTGACCTCCACCCGCAAAAGGGTGGACTCCTATGCAACCGTCTGTAGATCACGCAACCAACATCGCTGATGCGTCTCGTAGCGATCGATGCACCGCCCGAACACGGTCAACAACATTTTTCACCACCGACCAATTATGCTGAGGCGCTGAACATGCCATGCTGATCCAATCTCAGGGCTGCTCCGTGGGCTGGGGGATGGGGATTCAGCCACTCCAAATCCCCCCTTCCTCCAACATTTTTGTCCAGGCTTCCGCGTCCCACAATCCTCCGCTTCCTTCTCCTCCTCCTCCGCCTCCTCCTCTTCCTCCTCCTCATCCTCCTCCCTGATACTACTCCTGCTTCTCAGCCTCCCCTCGGGGATCTACTGACCCGGGTCAACCCTACCTGGGTCAGTCGGGCTTTGCAAGATCCTGCAGGATCCTGCAGGATCCTGCACCCAAGCCCGGGTCAATGCAGCCCTGGCCCTGCAGGATCCTGCAAAATCTGGCGCTCTGACTGAGCCCCGTTTGCGCTGACACCCGTCTCTTGAGCCCCGATCCCGAAGGTACCCTCCCCGAGGATGCGCAAGAACATTCAACAGCCGCGAAGAACACGAGGGTACCCTCCCCGAACCGACCTCGATCTCATACCTCCGTCCGACCGTACTGCTCCTGCTTCTCTGCCTCCCTTTCCTCCTCATCCTCTGGCACCCTCATCTCCCTCACTCCTTTCGTCTCCTCCCTCCATCCGATGTCCCTGCTGCTGCTGCTGCTGCTGCTCCTGCCTCTCCACCACATGTTCCTTCTCCTACTCTAAGCATGATGCTCGCAGCGTTGACCTCCTCATGTTCCTCCTCCTGCTTCTCCTCCTCGTCCTCCTCCTTTTCTTCCTTCCCCTCCTCCGACGCCGACGACGACGCGACGACCACGTCGACGACGATCGCGACGACGACGACGAAGACCACGACGACGACCACCACCACCACCACGACGACGACCATGACGATGACCACGAAGACGACGATGACCACGACGATAACGACCACGACGACGCCGCAGCCGCGGCGGAGCCTGTGGGCTGCGACTCCTCCAGGCGGCGCAGCACGCGCACGGCCCTGGCGAAGTCGCCGTCCTGACAGGGACGCCGCTCTGGGCCCAGGGGCGTGGATGCCCATGGGGGGGGGGTGGCAGGAGGAGGACGAGAAACACGAAGGGAAGGATAACACATCTGGACGAGGAACTGATAGGGGGAGGAGGTGAGGAACAGGAAGCGGAGGGAGGATTAGAAGAACAACCTGCATAAACATGAACTTCGGCGCTCCCCGCGGATTTCTTGGATCTGCGCTGGACCCCCTCCCCTGGCGCGCGGAGCTCGCCAGGGGCGGCGCCAGAGGATCCGCACGGAACGCCAAAAGTTTATGTTTATGCAGCTGTCTCTGCTTCGAAGGATGGGGGGGGAGCGGCGCTGGCCAGCAAGGGGGGGGGGGGCCATGGAGGGACAAAGCGACCCTGTAGGAGGCGGCGGAGAATGGCAGCGCAGAGTCCGAGACGAGAAGAAGTCCGCTGCCTCCAAGAGAGGGGCACGCCCTCTGGGCGGGCACTTCGCGCACAACAGAGGCAGAGGGGCCCAGGGGCACAGGAAAATAAGGCGCCACCACAGCGCTGTTCAAAAGGCGTTTGCGCTTAGAACGAAAGACAGCACGAACCCGACAATTTAAAACGGACAGTTTAAAACGATACGGGTGCAAAGCGAAAGCGGAAAAGAAACGATGCCGCCATTCAGCGAGGCCACGAAACGAAAAACGAACCGGGTTCCGCAAACATCGTTGGAAACGAAACAGAAACGAAACGATGACATCGACAGATGGCTGATGACGGGACAGCATTGGATGTGAGAAACAAACAGACACACGTGTATATATGATGTATACCAGCATGCATACATATACATACACATATAGATGTATACATATATATTTATATATATACACATATGTGTATATGTACATGTACATACGCATATACATAAACATATACATATACATACACATATACATATACAAACATACTTTTGCCAGAGCCATCGCGTTCGCTTCGCGCGCGCTCAAGTTCTAGCTGGTTTCTTGGGGCCTCCCTAGAACATCCTGGGCTGCTTCTTGAAGTCGTCATGGGACCTTATTGGCATGTCTTCGGGGGCCTCTTAGAAAGAGATTTGAAGCCTTTGGGGTGCCGTCATTGGGCCTCTTGGAGCCTCTTTGGGGTTTTTGGGGGGCCTCTTGGGGCCTTTGCGGGCCTCTTGGGGGCATTCTTGGGGCCTCTTGGGGGCATCTTGGGGCATCTTGGGGCGGAGATCTTGATTTTTCAGTTCGCCTTCCGTCTCTTGGGCCCCTCTTGGGGCCTTCTTGGCACCCTGTTGCGCCGTCTTGGGCGGCACTGGGGCCGTCTCGGGGCTCTCTTGGGCCGTTTTGGGGCCCTCTTGGGCCGTCTTGGAACGGTTTGGGGAGCCTTTTGGGCGGTGTTTTAATGCCGGAAACACGGAACACACATTGGTGGTCGAGGTTCCGGCCCTCGGCGCCCGAGCCCGTTGCGCCGTAATGCGTATATGTGTGTATGTATGTGTATGTGTATGTGTATGTGTATGTATAGGTATATGTATAGGTAGATGTATATGTATATGTAATTGTAAATGTGTATGTGCATGTATATGTATATTTATATGTATATGTATATGTATACGTATATGTATATGTATGTGTATATGTATATGTACGTGTATGCGTATGTGTATATGTATATGTATAGGTGTATGCATATATATATATGGTATATATATATATATATATACACATTCCTGGGCGCGCTGCTCCCGGTCCCGCGGACCGCAGGCGTGGCAACCACGTCGGCAGCGCCGGGGGGGCGCCCGCCGCGGGTTCCGTCCACACTCGCAACCGGGCTGACCCCATGCCGGAGCCGACAGGGAGCCTCGAGGCCAACCGCCGCGCCAACCACTGCGCTGACCGGCGCGTGGCCTCGGCGCAACACAGTGGAAACCAGTCTATAAGTCACCTTCGCGGCGACATTCGACCGCGATGCCACCCAAGAGAAGGAGGACGGCACCCAAGCTACGTTGGGTGAGGCCGCGGCCGTACGCCTCCAGCTGCCACGCCAGCCCGTCGCGTCGACCGACGCAGGCGGCTGACGCGCCAAGGCGCAGGCCGAAGCACATGGGTACCAAACCCCTCCTCACGGGTGGTGCGCGGGGGAAAACGAAGAGCGACCGCGGTCGCGTCCGACGCACACTAGCGAGCGGACGCGCAGCGCAACGCCCCCAGGGTTGGTCCAACGCGGCGCGCTGGCCGGCAGAGGACCACGCCCTGGCCAGCCGCCCCACCTGTGAATGCGCACTGGGCAGGTAGGGCGCCACGTACATGCCCAGCTACTTGACATCCCGCCCCGCGGCCAGGCGGCAAAGAGGATACCTTTCGACCGTGATGTTAGAGGAGGAGGAGAGGAGCACATCGACGCACGACCGCGCGGCGCGCCAGCATGCCCGCGCGGGGGCCTGGCCCGCCAGCGCTGCGGCGGCGTTCGGCTGGACACGCGGGCGTCCGCCATCGCGCGGGGCGCCGACGGCGGGGCACTCCCGCCTGTGGCGTCGACTTATGACTTGCAATTACAAGTTATTGCTGCCCCATGAGCCACCTTCGCGGATACGTTCGACCGCGATGCCACCCGAGAGGAGGAGGACTGCACCCAAGCAACGTTGGGTGAGGCCGCGGCCGCGCGCCTCCAGCTGCCACGCCAGCCCGTCGCATCAACCGACGCAGGCGGCTGACGCGCCAGGGCGCAGGCCGAAGCACACGGGTACCAAACCCACTGCCACGGACCCAAGGGCTTAGGACGAGCGCTGCCCCAGCGGGCTTGCGGCGGCCACAGGCCCGCTGCCACCCATTGCCAGGCAGAGATGCGGCCAGAGACCCGCAGCCCGTGATAGACGAACGACGGACCAGACGATAGTGAACGAGCGCGCGAAGGCTTGTCGCAATCGCGGCAGCAGCAAACGTGCGCGCTCTAGCGTCACTGGACGCCGGGAGGCACGCCCCTCCCTCGTTCGTCGTCGCTGGACGATGCGTCGAAGTGCGCCTCAGCCGCGGTTCGGCGCTCCATCTTCTCAATATCAAGGTGACGCATCCAAGCTGGCATCTGCCAGTCACCCGCCTTCAATGTTGGTCACAAGACCACCGAACTCTACAATGTCTTGAGCATGGCCCCGACGGAATGAGTGGGCGCCATAGGCGTCTGCGTCGCCTACTGCCACGCGGCGCAATGCCGCCCTCAATGCGCTGCGTGCGCTGGTGGCGCACCAGCCAGCCCGCGGGGCGTCGCTGCCAGGGCGAGTTAAGTCGAGCGCCGAGGGCGTGCACAGGGCGTGTGGCGCGCGAGCGCTTGCGCCAGCACGTGCGAACGATCGTTGTACGTCTCTCGCGATTCTCCCGCCAAATGAACAATAAAGCTGCGGCTTCTTCGCCAATGAAAACCCAGGCGCGCAACTGCGATGCGCCGTTGAGCGAGGCTGCGCGCTGGATGACCAGCGCCTCGGACGGGGGCCGGAGCAGAAACGCGGGCGCGGCCGCGAAAAGGAAGCCCAGGCCGCCGTCTACTGGTAACGCACCTGGGCTTTCCAGCAACAGCTCCATCAATGTCATGCGAATCGCCATCCGCGGTCGCGCCGACCAACCCGAGAGCTTCTCCATGGCCAACTTGGCCCCCGATAGAGAAGCGTGCGCCAGCGCCGCGTCAGACACGCGCGCAACGTGGCAAGCCTTCGTCAGATGCGAAAGGTACTTGCATAATGTCGCGCGACACCTGAACGTCGTCGACCACAGCAGCAGACCGTCAACCGACGGTGGAAGCTCCGCGCCCTTGCGTTGCAGAACATCACGCGCAAACTTCACCCAACAATCAACGCCGCTGCGCACTTGAGGCAGCGATCGCGGGCACGACCCGAGCAGGGCGCTGTCGCGGGCCACCCTTGCCCGCGGTCTAGGGCCCAGGGAAACCCTGCGCGCGCGGCCGCGCCGCCGGGGCGTCGTATGACCGCCGCAAAGACGACGCCGTCTGCGACGCACCGCACGTGGTGTCCATATCCTCACGCTCAACGATTCAGAACTTGATGATACCGAGCTATCAGAGCCCGCCCGCGACATGCGTGCCCGTGCCGACTTGCCGCTGGTTGTCCCGGCTTCCACGATGCGCCCTTACGATGCGGAGCGGCGCGCGTGCGCGATCCGCGCGCCCGTGGCGCTCGCCTCGAGGCGGCCGCGCAAGCAGCTCTCGCATTGCTGCCGCTGCAGTGGCGGAGAGGCCGTCATGACTTAGAAAATCCGCCGACCCTGTCGGCGTGTGTGAGGGGCTTTTCCGTTCGAGCCGTCATCTCCGTCATTCTTTGTACTCGTCGTCTCTGTCCTTCCCTTTCCCTGGGAGACCTCTTCCCCTGGGCTCCAGCCAAGCCGACCTTGAGCAACCTCGTAATTGAGTCGAAGGGAAGCCCCTTCCCTTTGATCCCTCCCCCGCCGGGAGGGGGGGGGGGTAGCGACCCCCCCCCCGGGTCAGATACGACGCCCCCCCCTGGGACTCCTCTTCCCCTGGGCTCCAGCCAAGCCGACCTTGAGCAACCCCTGGGCTCCAGCCAAGCCGACCTTGAGCAACCTCGTAATTGAGTCGAAGGGAAGCCCCTTCCCTTTGATCCCTCCCCCGCCGGGAGGGGGGGGGGGGTGTCGACCCCCCCCCCGGGTCAGATACGACGCCCCCCCCTGGGACTCCTCTTCCCCTGGGCTCCAGCCAAGCCGACCTTGAGCAACCTCGTAATTGAGTCGAAGGGAAGCCCCTTCCCTTTGATCCCTCCCCCGCCGGGAGGGGGGGGGGGTGCGACCCCCCCCCCGGGTCAGATGCGACGCCCCCCCCTGGGACTCCTCTTCCCCTGGGCTCCAGCCAAGCCGACCTTGAGCAACCTCGTAATTGAGTCGAAGGGAAGCCCCTTCCCTTTGATCCCTCCCCCGCCGGGAGGGGGGGGCGTCGACCCCCCCCCCGGGTCAGATGCGACGCCCCCCCCTGGGACTCCTCTTCCCCTGGGCT